TTGTTACGATCTGAGGCCCCGGCCAGTGAAGAAAACGTCTCTTGCGAATGATGCTCAGCTTCGGCTGATACCTTGCTGTATTTGAATAGGTCCACCGTGCCCCTCAGACTGCATCACATGCAGGTTTGTTCATCATCGAAGCAAGTTATCTCCTTGTTACGACGTGGTGAAGTTCCTTGGATGTTCAGCCGAGAAGAGGAGGAGAGAGGGAGGTGGAAGGACCTTTGCTTTATAGTAACTCCAATGCTTGATGGTGACTTAAGGAGTCGGTTGTTCCGCGGAATCCTATTCCGATGCAAGTTCATGATAAATAATGACATCGAAACCAGAGCGTTTTCGATTTGCGCAGCATCATGTAGGTGGCAAGTTGAGAAGAAGAAGAAGCTCTACCAAGGGTGAGTGACAGGAAATATAGTAGATAGCATCATTGTTGTGACTATGTTACATAACTTAGGACTGTACTGTACGGAGTACATACGAGCAGTAGTATACCAGATCAGACTAGTCCCAGAAGGGATAGATCAAGGATGACACGTGGCACGTGACAGACGACACGTGCCAGACTCCGGCGCAGCGCGTCGGAAGCGCGTCGCGGGATGCGACCCAAAGAAGAACCCCAGCCTCCAATTCACTTCTTCTCCCTTCGCCGCCGTCTTCATCATTCTTCCTGTTCTTCATCTCATGTTCATACTCTCCTTATTCTTCTCAATTAACCCCCCTCCCGCTACAACAACTGGACAACTACCCCGTAGTAGGCCTCACTTTTTTTTTTTACTCCCTCTTACCCTCCAATCGGAACCCCCTCCATCAAATTATATCTAAGCAATTACATCAACAAAACTCAGCCCGCCCAAACTACCCCACACCCCACCATCCCTAGGGGCCCTCTCCCCTCTCTATCACAAACCACCTTCGCACCCACCAAACACACGAAAAGTCCAAGCCCAACATGCCACCGTCGGCCTCGATCTACCGCACTCTTAGTGCAGCCACAACAACCGACCCCAACTCCAAACGCCGCCGCTTCCAACCCCCTATCACCACCTTCTTCACCACAGCCACCGACCCAACCGCCCACCCCTCGCAAACCGCCCACCACACCCACAACCACTACTCCACCTCCACCTGCTCCCCGACCCCGACCCTCGCCCCGAAGGTCCAGGCCTCCCTCCTCTCCGTCGGCATGCGTGTCCGCAAGTCCATCGCCGAGGGCTACAAGACCCACCACCAGTCGAGCAAAGCCCTCCTCTCCGGGCCCCCGCCATCTTACCACCATGACCAAGACCAGTCCGGTTCTCTGATCACCACCGACGAAGGCGACGCATTCTCCCTGCCCGCCAGCTCGCAGGAGTCCACTGACTCCGCCTCCTCCCTCCCGTTCACGGGTACGAAGCGCGGCTTGGGGGACCTCGATCACTACCGCGCCGACAGTAACGAGAGTGACAGTGAGACGGATGATTTCCCCGGCGCTGAGATGTGGGGTCAGCGGATCTCTCGAGCCGAGCCTGCTGCTGCGGTCATTGGGAGGACGATTCTCGCGCCGCGGAGTAAGAACAACAACCTCCGGAGGCGGTTTGTGGTCACCGGACGGGGGGGTGCTTGCACCGTTGCTACTACGATGGACGTGGAACTTGGGACGGACTTCGAGGAACCGGCTTTTTTGAGGAGTCGGGAGGAGGTGGAGGGGTATGAGCTTGATGGGTCTCCGAGGGCGTGCCGCGAGGTGGAGATGGGGGATGTTTGATTTTTCGCCATTTGGCCTCCAATACCTGCCTTGGGACGTTCGGGGGTGGGAAGAAGGGTTGAATCATGATGTTGTGCTTTGTTTGGGGTTGTCTCTGTGTTGTTGTTTTTTAGCCAGCGTTGCCATTGTCTGTACTTTACCCCTCTTTTTACCCAGTTCTCTTGTCGAGGGGCGTTTACTGGCTGGTTCCGGTGATCCAGTGATACTCAGGGTTATGATGATATGCTGGAAAGGATTCAGCAGGGGGTTTGCTATGATTGGTCTAGGCTATGCTTCTATGATCTGGGAAGGACTTTTGGGTGACGGATTTCTTGTGCTGTACATATTCTTACCCCCCTTCACCTTATCTTTACGAGTATCAATGCGAGGGAGAGCCAATCGCATGTATGGACAGTGTACTCCGTACATGGACTTGCGATTCCCAAGCAACAAGAAATAAACTGAATTGAAATGAAATACAAGACAAACAACGCTCCAACCAACCCCCAGGACTCCCTCATCCCCACCAACCAAAAAGCCATTATACACACAGTAGTACATGTAGTTGCACCATCATCAACCTCGCTTCTTGATCTTCGTGATAACCAAACAGGTGAGCCCCGGAAACAGATCTACCGCGCCATCGAAACACACATACGAGCCCGGCACCAACCTGACCACCTGCCCGGGGTCCTTGGCGAGCTTCATCTCCGCATCCCGCGGCACCAGCCGGGGCTCGGTGCCCGCGACCACCCCGATGGGAACGATGTATAGCGGGCCCGTGGAATTCTTGATCGTGTTCCGCGCCAGGATCTTCCACGCCATGTAGCTGAGTTGCATTTTCTCCTTCCCGCACCATCAAGAGAAGAGAGTTCTGGATTTTAGTAAATTGGGAGCCCTGCCGTTTTGGGGGGGGGGGGGATGTTTTTGCGCCGCAAGGGGGCTTTTTTTTTATGATGCAAACCCTTGCGGACAAGCAATAGAATAACAATGGGGACAAAAAGAAAGGGGAAAAAAATAAGAGGAGGAAGCTTACCTCTAGCTCTAAGTGCTTTAATAAAGGCGCCGCGTGTTGGTCCATGAAGTGGTTCGCGAACATAATGTTCTTATTCTTTTCGACTTTGGCCACCGGGGCGGTCTCGATTACCCCCTGTAAATGATGCAGGGCGGTCTCGGCTTCCGGGTTTATTTGGTGGGTGTGAATGGCTGTATGCTGCAATGCCATCGTGTTCTGAAGGGAGTGTATTGATGGGGAGACACTGGGGTGTCATGGATTGGTCTAATAGAATGCTGAAGAAGTGGTGGTGCTTTTGTTAGATAAGTATATATAGAGAAGCTCCTCTCGTCTGTAGTCCCGAGGTTAATTCGGCTGCTGTTGCGCCTATAACAGCTTCAGGGTCACAGATTCACGTATTTGATGATACTCTGAGCCCCGAATCTCTTCTTCTCGTTCTCTCTCTCTCTTGACTATGCGGGGGAATTCTGAGTAGGAAATTAGGTGGGGTTCCAGGTTGCGGGGGCCCCCAAGGTTGCGTGAATACGGGCAGGGCGGATAATGGCGGAAGATAGATGATCCAGCCTGGAGTGAGTGAGTGCACTGCAGAAGGGCAGACACCAGCAGTGACACCAGCGGTGACACCAGCAGTGAAAAATACAGCAACTATAAGAGTGGAAGAAGGTGGCCTGCGTAGAGTATGAAAACCCTCTTATTGAGCCACTATGAAAGCACACTCTATGACTCAAGCATGCACTTATCCAGCATAGCATGATACAGGGGTAAAAAGCTGGAAGAATCTAGGGAAAGAAAAGTTACAAAAAGTCAACGCTCAACCTTAACTCCCTACCATTTTCTCCATCCATACTTCCCGAACAATGTAGCACCACACCGGACAGAGGATTACAACTCGTCCTTGACATTGCTCTTCTTGGACTCAGCAGATGTCGTCGTCGCCGTCGTGGACTCTTGTTCCTTCTTGGTACTGCTCTTGCCCTTTTTGCCGTTGCTGCTCTTCTTGGGCTGCTCACTCTTGCCCGACTTGGCTGCTGCCGCTCCCATCTTCTCGTAGATGCGGTTCATGGCGCGCTCCAATTCACGAAGACGGGTATCAAGCTCGGCAACGGTGAAGGCCGGATCATCCGTGACAGTAAGCTTCTCCTGGATGGTCATTTGAGTCTCGAACCAAGTGTTCGTAGACTCATAGGTCTTGGACAAGCTGGCCAGATCATAGGGCTGGAAGATAGAGTACTTCGGTCCACTGGGCTTAGCGGTGGTGGTGGGAGCGGAAGAGGTGCTGCTGCTGGAGGAGGTATCGTAGGGGTCCTCATCGAGATCCACAGGCTGGGCGGGAGCCTCGCTTGCCGATGGCGACGAGCTCGATCCTGTGGGTTCACTAGCGACGACGCTCGACGAGTGAAGGTCTTCATCTTGTTGAATCTGCTTCTCCATTAGGTCCATCACGGTCTTGGCGTTCTTCAGAACATCCTGGAAAAGCTCAATACGAGCTGGGCGGTCGGCGCTCTCCTTCTTGCGCTTGAGAGCAGGGTTGACGATGTCTTTCAGAGACTTAAGTCTCTCCTTGAAATCCGAAGTTTTGGCGTCAGCGCCCTCGCCGTCCAGCCAGTCGCTGGCGGCAGCGGCCTTCTCTTTCAAAGTAATCAATTGCTCAGGAGTCAACATCTTGACGAAGTCCTCATCCTCTATGAGATCACGGCTGCGGTAAATAAAGGACTCCAGCTCGTTCAAGGCCTCTTCACGGAGGAAGCGCTCGCGATCCGAAGCGTCGAATGCGGCCAAACGGGCCTTGATACGAGCAAGCTCAGCCGTAGACGGTGCAGAAAGCCCCAGAGGAGTGGTGGTGAAGCTGACAGGGATAGTCTCGAGCTTGGTCTGAGGAGAGCTCTTCTTCGTTTCCTTGGCAGTCGTGGTGGAAGTGGATGCGTCCGAAGAGGTGGTCGAAGCTTGTTCATCTGGTTCCAGTGTAATGGACTCGCTGGCTTCACCCTCTTCACCCAGAGGAGCCTGTTCATCCTTCTTGCCTAAACCGAAAAATCCCTTGACATCCTCAACGACACTTCCCTTCTTGGCTCCTTCAACTTCGCAGCTGACGGATCCACCCACAACTTCGGGAAGCCCGTCAACAGGGCTGAGGCGGATGGCGAACTTGGTGGTGATGTTGGCAGCCGAGCAGCCAAAGTCTTCCTTCAACTTGGAAACAGAAGCAGTGAGGTTCTGCGTCTTCACGCCTAGAACAGGAGTCTCAGCAACGCTCTCGGCGAGGGGAACTTGCTGGTAAAAGCTGAAATCAAAATCATCCAGGTTCTTTACGGTGACCTGCTTCTCGGGTCCAATTTGAGAGGTGGGTGTGAAAAGCTTCTGTTGTCTCTCCTTGGATTCGGAAGTCCACTTCAAAACAACACTGTAAGCCGCGGCATCGTTAGCACGGATATCCTTGACACGGAAGCTTGGACTGAGAGCTGCCCCCTTGAATGCAGCTCCGAACACGGCGGCTTCATCAGCATTGACGCTGGTGCGAATCTTGCTAGCTGATCCACAGACACTCTCAAGCTCCTTCTGCACAAATGGCGTGCGAATTGAACCCCCGTGAAGAATGACAGATTCGATGTCAGTCATCTGCAAACCGGCAAGCTCCAAAGCCTGCTCGAGAGGCTTTCCAACGCGGGCAATGTGATGCGCGGCAAGCTCCTCAAATCTAGACCGGGTGAGGCGATACTTGAAGTTAACCTCTTCCTCGTACAGGCTCTCAAACGAAGCCCCAGTCTCAGTGTTGGCACTGAGAACCTGACGAACCTTCTCAGCATCCTTCCAGAGTCTCGCCATAGTCTTGCCGTGAGCCTTAATATCAGCCGGTGTGACCCGGCCTTTCAGCTTCTTCTCCTCAACCAGATCGGCGACCATATCCTCGACAATCAGGTCGTTGAGAGAGTCTCCGCCAAGTGTCTTGTCCCAGCTGGTACCCAGGACGTGAACTTCCTGGACGGTCTTGTTGAAACGGCCGATGTCCTTGACCGCGCGGCTCTGGAAGCGAACGACACTGGCCGTGGTAGAGCCAGCGCCCATGTCATAGATAATGTGATACTCGGGCTTCTCTCCGTCCGACACGCTGGGGAAAGTGCGGCTGGTTGCGTAGTTCAAAGCGACAGCAAGGCCGTCACTAATGAACGCTTCGACATTCAAACCTGCCAACTCCGCCGCCAAGCGGAGACTTCTCTTCTCCGCCGCGGTATAGAAGGAGGGGTAGGTGATCACCGCATCCTGAATGTTGGATCCTTTTCCAGCCAGGGTATCGGCATTGGCCTTGATTTGCTTCAACTGCATGGCAAGAACCTCTTCGACGAGAAAAGCGTCCTTCTTCTCTGCCTCGCCAAGTCGGTTGCTCCGAAGTCCAACAGTGTCACGATCGCCAGGGGCCTTTTCAAGTCGCAACGCAGGGTACCGGTTGTGATATGTCTTGATCGTTTCGTCATCGATATCGAAGGGGAGTCCGAGCAGGGTCTTGAGATTGGCGTATACATCGTCGGGATACCGGGCGGCTAAGGCCAGGGCATCGCCGCCGTAGAATCTCTCAGGAAACAGGGCATCGCTTTCGCGGGTAGGTTTGAACGCAACGGCGGCTGATTCCTTGCGCTTCGAATCCTTGGTGAGAACAATTTCAAGAGGAATTCCCGGTTTGACCAGGGCGGCTTTGAAATATTCTGTGCCGACATCAAGACCGAGAACGGCGGATCCCGCAGCAGCAGCGGGGGCAGGGAAGCTCAAAAAGAGCAGTAGAAAAGGAACGATCAAGAAGGATAGGACGGGAGAGGATGTAAGAGACTTCCGGGAGCCATATGTGCGTTGACGGCTTCTGGAAGCCATGGTCTATGCGTTTACTAAGAAAGCAGGTCAGCACCCGTCCCAATCAGCAGATTGCGCCTCAGGGTCGCATACCTCCGAGAGACGCTTTAATACAACGCTTGACATCTATTGAGCTCTAGCTCTGTACCCAGATGCAATCTGGTTGATATGGTCGTCGCAGGCGAGTGACAGTCTAACTATCGGTACAGTAACATGAAATTAGCAAGTTAGTGGTAGTGAACTATGACGGCAGAAGAGGTTAGCGAAAGGCGAAAGCAACCTATGGAAAGAGAGGGGAGAAGAGAGGTACCTAAGACACTTTTTATCTCCGCAGAGCCATCTAGACGACAACGAAGCTCTAGTATACTGGCCACCTGGCAGTAAGAATATGGTGAACAAGGACAGAGTAGTAAAAGAAAGATGCCAGTCGAATGTTCGATGAATTGATTGGAGAGGCCACGTTTGGCCGACCGAATGATGCAAACACATCACACCGCCCGCTTTGTTTGCACTGCGGATCCACACCAATTCCAGGGTCTATCTACGGGTCCACGGTGTTTCTACTAGGTACTCTGTAGACTACATATTACTAGATCGAATGCCATGCACCATGCAGTACGGAGTTTTATGAACACATGGAGATATGTTTTTCATGTCTCGTACTTGCTGCTCCATACGTCTAATCGTCATCAAAGTCGGAGTCGCTCATCCAACCAGTCTCATACGACTCTCTAATCTCGCCCAACCCGTTGACTAGTGCCTCCCTCTCATCCACTTGTGCGACTCGCCCGGCGAGCGTCTCTAGCACCTTAAGCTTCTCGGCCGTTCGGGAGGAAGCTGTCAACGCTGCAAGCACTTGGACCTTCTCCTTTGCCTGGGGAGGAGTGAACATGTTGTGAGGGAAGCTATCCAGGATGGGGAACGCCAGCGGCGCATGAAATCTATCGATATGATCAGTATTTGGAGCCCTGAACAGGTTATGAGCTCCTTGTCCTCACCTCTGGAACATGGGCTCGGAATTGTAGAGTCGTTGCCTGCGCACGGTACCCAGGTCCTCACTAGGGGACTGGCCTTTCCGCTCGGTGGTTATGCCACGCGACACTTGAAGTTGATTGAAGATATGAGCGGTGTCGCTGTCCAGGCCGTTGTATGTGAAGTCCAGTTCGAATTTGGTCTGGGGCTTTGGGCCTTCCGTGTTCTCTTCTTGATCGGCGTGCGTCTTAGGACCTTGCGTGGAGTGCTCGGCAACCTCGTCATCTGGCACAATCGTAGACTGAAGCTCGAATATCTTGTGGACGCCATCGTCCCCTGCCAATGAGGCCTCAAAGTCGTGATACGGGCGAAGACGGGTGGGAAGTGTCACAGTTTCCAAAGCGGAACTGATTAGTGCTGAAGTGTACCACTCGGAGTGAGGGTCGACATGAATCGTTGACGGTAGCCGGCTAGGCGGGTCGACGATAGGCGTATATAGAGAAGCTTGAGGAGAAATAGCGTAGATGGACCGGGACTTATTCAGATCACGCTTGTATTGGGTTTGCTGCCGGAGTCAGCGAGGATGGTGCAGGCCAGTCAACAGGAGGCAACAAGACTCACCCGGTCAACCTTGCGGCCATTCTCTACAGCCCACACCCAGACTGCCTTCTTGCCATACTCATCCCGAATTCTGTCGACATACTGGGCAGCGAAGCCACCCCATGCATCATCTGAGCCTGTGAAAAGCTGGATTGCGCGCATTTGGTCGCACTCTTCGGCAAAGGGCCTCAGGTCCCGATCTAACAAATCATGCTCCTTGTCGAGATCGTTAAAGAGTTCCTCCCCTACACCCCAGTCCTCAAATGGCATGATCTTGGAGTTCAGCTCGTACTCATTCAGCTGAACAATTGATCGCGGGTGGTAGAAGAGACGATTATAGTCTGACCAGTATCGAACTGTCTCAGAAGATAGCGGGGGAGCGGGGAGCCCTGCATCCAGGTTCTTCTGGTAATTACTCTGAAGGATGGGGGTCTGTTGCTGTAGGACCTCTTTTCCGTCCCTGCACCATCACAGCGTTAAAAACCTCGAAACGGATTTTCCGGCGATGGTGCCCACTTACCACAGTCCTTGACCGGGATTCGCATCCTCTGGCAGCTGGTAGAGGGCATTGTATTTGCGCAGAGTGCCGAATCCCCCTTTCAAGTCATAGATAACAGTTCGAGGAGTGAAGGTCTCTGTACCATCTGCTGCGACACCAGGTCGAAAGTGAACATCATGATCTACGGGGGACTCTTCATCCTCATTGTATGTAAAGTAAGATTCCTAGCCGGCAATTTAGCTTGGATTCATGGATAAGGTAGGGTTCGATCAGGCACAGTCGAAGCATACTTGAAGATTCCAGAAGTGCGTAGCCAGATAATTTGCTCGTTGGCCGAGCTGCAGGGTGATAATTTCATGCATATTCAATCCGATTCGCACTACGTAAATGGGGAAATTGATCCGATCCCCGAATACGTCAGGAGCATACGCTCACGGGCACTGGAAACCTTCGACTGTCAAAATCAGGGCTGAAGGTGACAACGAGCCTAGACTTTACCCAATCTAATGACTGGGGCATTTAACCTCGTCGCATCACACAGCTTCAATGCGCAGCACAGACCGGCGCCCGCGGCGGCAATGAAGCCTTCCTTTTTGAGACTAGAGCCCCCGCTTGCCCAACTCGGCTAAAGTAAGTCGTCCTGGGCAACGGTCAGGTGATCACGCGGCGGGCAACAAACAAGCGGGAAAAGAGTGGGTGCGTCACCGATAGGAGGAGATCAGTGGGTTCATTTTCAAATCTAGTCTGTCTGACCGTCGACCCTCGACCCCGTGGTGTCATCCCATTCTCTCTCGGGCATGACTGTCATGTTCTGAATCGAAGACTGACTGCCTGTTCTCACTTTACTGACTACTACCCTCCTTCCCAATCACAACACACAGGCTTGTTCGTCATGGACTCTCCGTTTTCGAGCCCGACGAAGGCCCTGAACCCCCTATCGCCCGAACGCATAAATCAACAGTTCACCCCCAACTCTTCACTGACTTCCAACATCCTTAACCTCCGAGGATCACACTCTAGGGGTCTTTCCGATGTTCAATCCAAGGTCGCTTATCTCAACGGTCTCGCCTCTCGAGGCAACAGTCCCGCTCACGCTCATCAGCAACAGACTGCTAGCAACTCGGCAGCCTTGCAGCGCGCCATCTTAGGACGGGAAGAGGCGGAGTCTGCTCTGGCGCATGCCAACTCAGAACTTGCAGAAGCCCAGTCCCGCGAACGACGCATCAGTGAACGCCTGGAATCATTGCTCGAAGAACTTCAGACCTCTAAGGAACGCCAAGCTCACGAGAGGACAGTTTTTGAAAAGGAGATTCGAAAAGCCAGAAAGGAGGCTTTTCGCGCTGGCTCGGTGGTTGTCAAGGTACAGGAGGACTTGAAACATGCCAGGGCGGAGGCCAAAGTCCTCAAAGATGAAGTGCAGGCGGAGCGCCGAGCCAAAGAGCAGGCAAAACAGGAGGCATTCGAGCGCGCTTACGCCATCGCCGGGCTTACAGAGGAGGTGGAGGTTCTCAAAGAGCAGCTACGCGCTGCGGAGGCCAATATCAAGTCGCGAAGCCTGAAAGCCCATAGCTTCAAGCTTAGCCAAGAGGGCGCCGGACGAATGTCTTTAGCGGAAGGCGATCTCGCCCTACTGCTAACCCCTACGCCTCGGAGACCCAAACGATCGGCCGAAGATTCCGTCAACTCACCCATGGTCCATGCCACAAAACCGTCGTCTGCACACCAAACTCCTCCCAAGCGACAGAGACTATCAGACATCACTCCCCGACAAGAAGCCCAGGAATATGCCGTGTCAGAAGCGAAGCATGATAAGGTGGAAGAACTCGAACGAATTCTGAAGCGCGAGCGCCAGCTAAGAACAGATGCCGAAGATTTGATTGAGTTCCTCAAACTCGAGTGTCAATTCAAGCGCTGTTCTTGCCGGTTGACCGAGTCAGAGGAAATCGACCATGTGCATGAAGCGGGAACAGTCGAGGCAGTCGAACAGAAGGTGCACGAACACGGAATTGAGCAGCATGGAGATCACATTGGCGTCCCGAAAAATGACGAGGTGGACTCGCACACGCCCGTCGGCGAGCCTGCTGGTTTCGCTGCACAAGAGAATGTGGGAGAGACAGTTGACGAAGATGACGATTTAGAGGAGGCTCAGGAATTCGAGGAAGAGATTGTGGAGGATGCTGAAGATGACGACGATGACCCTACGGAGGAGCCTATTATCACTTTTTCGCCTGCCACGGGCACTTTCCACACGATCCCTTCGCCTGTCCGAGGATCTCCACGGAAGCAGCTCCCCGAGAATGCGCTAAATTCACCATTAGCAGAAGTGGAGAGCGAAGCTGAAGATCCAGCGATGACTGGTAGTCCTGTCTCAAAGCATGCTACCCACAGGCATGAGACGCCATATGATTCCATCATGGAAAGTGAGGCCTTTGTCCCAACCTCTACTCCTGGAACTCACCGGTCCTCAGTAGTTGTTGATGTTCCGTGGGACCCTGTGTTGCCCGTGATGCACGATGCCAGAAACTCTCAAGTGCACGAAGACCTCAGGAAAATTCCTCTACGAGACGACGACCAGTTATCGTCCAATCGCTTTGCTGATGTCCCAGGAACTCCCATAAGCCGGGAAGAAGCCCTGGCACAGATCCGAGCGCGTAGAGGCAGGACCAACACGATGAAGCGCTCCATCAGTGCTGGTGAAAGTGCCCTACGCTCCGGCGGGATGGGCGTCACACCCGTCCGATCCGCACGGCGAATCCCTGGTCTTCATCACACAGAAGCCAGAAGCGATGGCTCCATTCGGGATCGGCGCGACATAAGTGCTCCCATCCGCATGTCCTACCACTAACTACTATCTTATCTCATTCATGCGAGCTCAGACGCATTTCATCCTTTCTACCTCTTCCCCTACACATTTTCCTCAGACTCTAGCTTAATGACTCAACCCTCTCTCTTGATACCCGGTACTCCGAGTGGCATGGCGTTTTTTGGGGAGATTGAGCTTTCTATGTCCTTTTTGTGGTTTTGTTCGTTCTTGGCAATCATGGCACGTCTCAAAAGATCTTGATGAATATTCCCGGTGAAATTTGTTTTGTCTAGTCTCATGAAATCAACTTTTTTGCCTTTCCACCAAAGTCAGCACACGAACTCAGGTGTCTATGCTCTCACACTCTCTTCTCTCAGCTTCGTCTGTAACATTTCCTTTGTCTGGTATGCGGTCTACGTGTGAACATTTCTACTCTTGAATATATCTCCTGTTACTCCTCTTTCTGTTATCCCATGTGGGTACTGTCTATACTTGGAACATGCAGGTTAGACAGATACAAATGGTCCGGTCGATGCTTCTGGGATTGAGTCGCAAGTGGAAAGAACTTTTGTGAGTTAAAATAGCGCGTACACCCTGACGAGAGAGAAACTATGACTCTATCACAGTTGTTTACTACGAATATATACTATGTCTTCTTGTGCGTTCATCAGAGCTATCCGACGGAAAAAAGAAACAGACAGGAAGCAGGAAAAAGATGGCTAGGAGTATCACGGCAGTAAATACAGTACAAGCAAACCTATACGATGGAGATACCACAACATCTGATCCGGGCGCTCTCGACGTACGCCTTCCGACCCCACCAGAGCATGACGAGCTCCTCGACGAAGACCCGGTCGGCGGCGCTCCACACGTCCAGGCCCATTTCGGTCAGGTCTTCGGACGTAATCTTGACGGGCTTGGTGTCCTCCTGGGTGCTACCGCTGGCACTCCCCGAGGATTGCCGCGCAAGGAGTGGTCTGTGGAAGTCGTCTTCTTGGGTGGATTGGCGGCCAATGGCAAGAGAGGGGTCGGTGTCGTTTTCCGGCTCGTCGTCTTCGTACGGTTGTTCATCGTTGTCGGGAAGGAGGTCGTCATTGTCCTCGTCGTCCGGGAGGTTGCGACTGTCGTGGCGGGCGATCACGTCGGACAAGGTGACGAAGATTTGTGTGGTGAGGCGACGGAAGTATGCGACCAGAGCGATCTCCGCGGGCTGCTGCGCGGACTCGTGGGGCTGGATGCTTCGACGGCCGACGGAGCCTAAGGGAGGGCTGGGAAGAATTTCGACGCTAGCGAGGAGGCGCGTGTCTTGCTCTATCTGATGCTCTTCTTCCTCTTCTTCGGATAGACCATCGCGCTTTTCGCCCGCGGACGCCCACCAGATGAAGGAGGTATATGCCAGACGAGCCCAAGAGAGGGGCTCAACTATGGGACTGGAAGAGTAGGTGGATGCAGCATCGGAATCGTCGTCAGTGTCTGTTCGGGTATCCTCGTTCTGGGAAACGTGGCGGAGCCCCTTGCGGAGAGTATAATAACGTCGCGCATCCCGCTGAGTCGCCTTTAGAACGACTGAATGAGGTGTTCTACCTCTGGCGGGCTGGGTGTGGAAGATAGATACGGTGGGGAACACCTTCTCCGCCGCGTTTCTGGAATGCGGGGGCGGTAAGGTGACTAGAACATCGAAGAGTTCGGGCTTCACACTCAAGACGCTGTCCGTGCTGCAAGCGATCCAGGCTGAGTCACGGTCGTTATTCGGGGAAACGCCCACGAAGGAAGAAAGGTAAGGGATATCGTGTATGCCCACGTTGAATAGAGAGCGCGGTCGGGGAGGAGGGAGCCCATTCTGAGGAAGCAGGGGAAGGAGGGAATTAGGCAACGAGGCCAATAAAGACAGATCATATACTGGGGACAGCTGTTAGCAGCAACGCGAGTGGAGGAACGAATGAGCATACCATAACTGCAAGGAACATGGACTGGCGGCTCTGCCATGAAGAGAACCCGCTTGCGCAGCAGGGCTGCTCTGTAGAGGGGGAATATCAGGGGACCAAATGAATCTAGAAAATTAGGAAGGGAAGAAGCTGGGTGGAAGGGCGTCAGGGCCGGCCTGGGCGTTTCCAACATGATGGCATCACTAAATGCGCGACCCCGATGTATGCTGTCAGTTCGGTCTCCGTGGGCCCTCAGGCGGAAGCTGAGTGGAGATTCTAAAGGAGAATCGGGAGGCATGGCAGACAAGTCACTTTCTCGCGTCCGAAATTCCTCCCAGTACTCTGCAAGTGGCTGGATATTGGACATGTCTTGGGCATAGTTCCTACAGCGATCGCAAACGTCAGAGGTACATGGTACAATGCGACACCCGCAAGTGGGTCAAGATCACTCACTGTGCCAGTTCCTTGAGCTTCGGCGCATGTCTCCAGCTCTTGCCCAGCCTTCCTGAGCTCAAGGGCACAAGCACTCCAATGGCGAACATCATCGCGTTGCGCTCTGCCTCCTCCGCAGGCCAATTGACGAAAGCACTGATGCCAGCATATTGCTCATGGATGAAGTACCTGGAAGGAGCGAGCGTCCGTAAGCAAGCGGTCGACACACATCATCGATATGATCGCTAACTTACACCAAGTCCTCTGACACATTGTGTAAGCCGGAGGGAAGCGATTTATATTCCACGGCCCCTTCAATGTCAACTGGTCGATCGGGTAAGCTCGGGCGCTCCTCGGAAATGCTGTCGCTATTCGCTATCACTCACCCCCAGGGGTTGTTCGTTTCCAGGATATCACGTAACTCCATCAGAAATCAACTGTCAGTAGAAGCTCACTGCAAGGTGAGTATGCATCACAGAAGCCGGCGGGCACTCACCCAGCCTTGATGTCGAAACGAATGACGAAGAGTGCCGCAATGCCAGGCGGCGACTCGACCGCAACGGTGCGGGGCACATCGAGACCCAAGGGCTTCCTAAATGGACCAGGAGCCATTGCGGAATTGTATGTGGCAAGGGGAAGAAGAAGGAAAGAAGAGAGTGACAGTCTCCATGGGATGGTTAACCAGGAGGGCGACCGAGGTAGATGGCCGATTGAGGGGCAAAAGGAACATGGAAGAGCAGGTAGCCAGCTTGTCGCAGTTGGTAGGAGTCGGATCTACCGTCCAAGTAACTACTGTACGGAGCTGCAGTGGAAGTTGTGGCCTGAGGTTCAGGGCTCTAGCCAGAGTGGGCTAGCGGGTAATCCCGTGGCTGTCTAACCATACTAGGAGACATTATGGTCGATCTCGCAATCGAGGCTTAAAAGTAATCAAATATAAAAGAATAATACTCAGCAGAAGGTGCAGAAATAGGGCAGATGTCAAATTCCCAGATAGAAATCGATGCTAGGGAGGGGAAGAAGAAGAGGAAAGAAATTCACTCATATATGAGTACTAAGTTGGCGGTGTATCAATACATCGTGGAAAAGGAAATTGTAGGAGACCCCAGTATTAAATTTGAGATATGTTTTCCGCCTGAAATGCAACATCTCAATTCAATTGAATTTGTTTGGTTCTTTAGTGCCTACAATTCTAGAGAACCTCCCTAAGGGTTTTCGCACCTACTGCACACATTTGCAAATTTGATCAAGATGGAACTTCGGACTCCCTCTCATCCGTTCTATCCCGTCGACGCGCTCATTGAGGACTACGCGCCCAATGAGGCTCCGTTGCTCACTATCATGGCCACTGCCAGCCTAGGTGTGACAGCCTTGCTGGGTGCTACCTGGACGCTGACCGGCTTCAAACGACCGAAAATACAAACCCGAGACCGAATTGCCATTCTGTGGTTTGCGCTCTGTAAGACTCGCCTCAGATTTTATAGCAGCCGCCGCAGGGTAGAATCATCATCAAAGCTTCCGGTGCGCTAACATGTAAACGAAACCTCCAGCGGGATGTATCCATTGCTTCTTCGAAGGTTACTTCATGGTCCATCATGACCACATGGCATCCGCTCAAGACTTCTTTGGGCAGCTCTGGAAAGAATATGCCTTATCGGACTCGCGGTACATGACTTCCGACACACTTGTTCTTTGTATGGAGACCATCACCGTGGTAGGTCCCTCTTCCTCAATCCTTGATCAGGATAGCCTGCTCGTGCGCCGAATGGTGGCTGGGTGTGTATTCATTGACCGGGATAATAGATGGTCTGGGGCCCATTGTGCTTTTTAGTCGCATATCTGACCGCGACTCAACACTCTTTGCGCCATCCCTTTCAGATCATTGTCTGCATGAGCCACCTCTATGGCGACAGTCTCTACTATGCCACGAGCCTCTTCGATCATTACGTGCATGGGATTGCCTATTGTCGCCCGGAAGCCTTCTATTTCTGGGTCTATTACTTTTTCATGAACTTCATTTGGATCGTGGTTCCATCCTGTAAGTTGCCCTTGTGGATGGGTCCTTTTGGCCTGATAGATAGGCACTGACAAGGGGATAGATTACCTCTATCAGAGCATACGAGCGATATCAGCAGCCTTCGACGCCTTGAAAGAACGTTCGCAGCGACACAAAGAGCGATGATTCTAGGGGGACTGATGATGTCATCAAGATTCGGGCAGTTTTGCGACGAGGGGAAAATAAACACCGCGAGCCTCGCTAGCCCCAATTGCTGCCCGGGTGGTTCTAGGCTGGGCAAAACGAAGCACATCAGAAATTAATTTAGCGAGGCCCTTTCCCGCGTGGGATCAACATTCCGGCCGGGAATCAGACATGCCATCATTGCTCGGATTGAGGGGATCTCTCGGATCTCTCTCGATCTCGCCCACGTCGTTGTGACGGTTGACAGCACAGTTAGGACCGGGAAAACAAATTAGCACAAATTGCATGACAACGCAGAGAATAATAGCAATCAATAGTCAGAATGCAGTGATTTTATCCCTCTTGGCCCACTCTGACGCGTAGACCCCATAGTGGAGCGTCCCAGGCATCCTGATTCTTGCTTGTTCGCGGTCAAGAAAGATAGTTATAGCCTATTGCCTAGTTGGGGGTGTGGGGAGGAGCTTGGCCCTCCATCCTGGCTATCACTTTTGTAAGTACGGAGTAGACTGCCTCATGTGTTCGGTCGGGAGCACTCTTCATAAGGAAGAAAGCTCGTAGGATATACTTCGTGGCGTCCGTGCATGACGCTGAGACCGGGAGGGGAGGGGAGGGAGGGAGGGAGGGAGGGAGGGAAGAAGGTAAGACTGGGGCCAGGCGTGGGACAAAACCACTGTAGATATCATCAGCCAGCAGCAAGCCATGACCGCAACCTTGCAGCAGGAGAGTAAGCCAGACCCAGACCCTCACTCATCATTCCGTCCGTGGTATTAAAGGGTGATCAGTCCCGTCCTCGTGCGTGTGTACCTGATGGATGGCGAATGAACCACCGGTCGCAAAAAGCATAGTAGGGTACCTACTAACTACTAGGTACCTAGTAACTTAGCTTTCAGCACAACACACGTTTATCCAGCCTGACGAGAACTTTGGTTATATTCATGCATTGCCTTTCTTGTTGGTTGGCTCCAGCGACTGATTGGCTTGGATTGGGCGCCAGTGTGATCTGATGAAAGTGACTAGGTAACTATAGGTACTAGGTAAGTTAAGTTAAGTCATCTGAATGATCTGGATCATCTGAGTAGGTTGGTTGGCTACCTTATTCGTTTTGCGCTTCGGTTTCCCGGGCAGCCTGCGGTTTTCCAGCGGTTGCCAAAAAGATAGTCCCGGAGTATACACAGACTAACTACACAGACCGGACAGACAGGGCAACCAACCTACTGACAATACACTCACTCCACCAGTGGCTAGTAATTCTTTCCCCTCCGCTTTCCCTGCCCCCCCTCTCATTCTCCTCCTCTCACTTTGTCCGGTCGCCCTTCACTGAATGGGTGTCAGCTTTCATTGAGCAGTCATAGCGGGCAATTGCCTTGTGACCATCCTGACTCATCTCCAAAAACTCAAGCTAGCCAATTTATTGCATTCATTGCTGGTATCGTCGTGGTTATTGTCCGGCCGGTGAAGGACCGCCGCAACAGAGACCCGATCTGCTTTTGACCGCCTGTTTTCGCGCTCGCCTGCTTTTTCGTCTTCCCTGGTGGAATGTTCGCTTCTATTGCTTTCGATTCGAATTTCCTTCGACGATCCCTCCCATAATTTCTCGAACCATTTATTCCCTGCAAGTCCCTGTTGTTGTCCGCCAGGGTATGCATGAGCTAGCTGTTGTGCTGATCTTCACTTTGTGAGCTTTCCCCTTTCCCTCATAAACAAAACACTAAAGTGACGTCGGCGGGTTGCCGTGGCCCACGTTTTCACACCTTCTACTCAATGAGACCAACCACCGTACACAACTCCAATGGGGAGGCTACCACATGATATGCTGACATTTGACCGCGCCTGTAGACTTCCATGCCATCTCCTGTCAACCCGCAGCGCCCCTCCAATCGCGGGGGAGCCGCCAAATTGTCCCCCACGAAGACAAAGCCCCTCGATATCGGCCGGCCCTTGGGAATTTACGACACAAACTCTGTGCGAGAAAAGGTGCGCAAATGGCAGCAGCAAGGAGGCGGGGTTATAACTGCCAACGACGGTGTCTACTACGACGATGAGGAGGAGAATAACTCCGCCGCCGAATCCAAATCCAAACCGGCTCTTGATACTCCCCTCGGCAACTCCAATGGTTCAGTAGTATCTAGGATGCGAAGTCAAAGCACTCCGCGAAAGCGAGTCATCAGTGACGAGCACTGGAAGCTAAATCGGAAGCCCACGCAGGCCAAGACCTCGAAACTCCCAGCCCCCAAGCGCATCTCCCAGTACACAACAAATGATGCACTAAGGCCACCGCATAAAGCCGGGGGTGAGGAGGATGGGGTGTCGTCTCCTCCGCGAAGTCGCGAACGCGACCGCTCCACGGATCTTGCGACGAGGGAGCGGAGAAAGTCCCGCGCATCGCGGGATGTGGACACAATACCAGAAAATCGGGCGGAGGAAGAAATTGCCTCGTACAATGGATCCTCGAAATCGACATCGCGACCATCAACGGCGAAAGGCCATACTCGTGCGAAGTCAGAGCAGCCTCAAAGTTCGAAGTACAAGGATGCGCCGTTAGATGACGACTCAGAATGGGCGACGAGCGAGGCGGACTTCTCTGAATTGTCAAGACGCCGCGCACGAGGTCCTAATCCAACGTCGAAGGGTCCTCCCCCCAAAGGCCCTACGCTCGATGCCCTCAAAGGCCGTACAGCTGTAAAACCACCCAAAGGGGGAATACTCGGGCATATGATCGATGCATCGAAAGAAATATTCTCCAAACCTGAGCCACCCAAACCAGCACCAGTCCGGGGCGCGAAAATCCAAGCCTGGCTGTCCAATACCCCAGACCCCTTTAAGGAAGGAATGGACTCGGATGTGGAGATTCCAGCGCCTTTAAAGATGAGATCTGGTAACAACAAATCGAACGCAAAATCCGAACAAACGCACACTAGCGATGTGGAGCATTCCGTGGATAGCGACACTCCCCGCAAAGATGCGGCTTCACGGCGAAGCAAGAGAGACGGGGGTTCCCCGGCAAGCGACCGGGCCAAGCCGAAGCAGGAAACTGTCGTGAGCTCGGGATCACGAAGAGATGGTAGTTCCTCTTCGAAGAAGAAACAAGGTGAAAGCACAGGCAGTCGACAGTCATCCAGAGGCAAAGAGCTTCCTATCAGAGACCGCTCTCGTGATATGAGGGATGATGTGTCTGAGTCCGGAACTCAGCCGCTCTCTGAGGGCTCGGAAGTGTCTGGTAATAATGCGCCTGTACCTTTTGGGCGCACAAAACCATTCCCTGCCACCGGAGCACATCCTCTGTCTACCATCGCATCTGTGGAGTTAATGAGCAGAGGTGGCAATCCAACAGCGTCATCGGCTGCCGAAGCACACGATTCATCAGCCAAAGCAAAGGAAGACGATGAGGAACGGGACTCATTCGATCCAAACTCACTCCCTGTAGTTTCGTCCCAGCTCAAAAGACGACTCACTACCCATGATGATCTTATCTCAGTTTTATCCGCCCCTAATAGCAGGAGCCGGAGCCTCCGATCTGCGAGGAGCTTGAAGACGAAGAATCGCGTGGTATCAGAGACTATT